TTCAAAACAAATTCATACATTTACAAAACATCCTATTAATGCAGAAGATATGACTACAAAAGAATATCTCACTGGATTATATTCAATAGAACAAGAAATTTCATTAATTAGAAAAATTATGGAAAGTATTAATAATGAAGAAGAAATGTCACCTACTTCTTTAATTAATTTAGCTACATTAAATTGTCTTATTGGAGATGTAGAAACAGGAGATTTATTATTAAAAGAATTTGAAGATATTTCTAAAAGAGAAACAGATGCTAGAAAATCAATTCGTTTATTTAAAAAACATCAAATTGCTCAATTAAGAAATAGAAGAAAACATATTAGAACATTTATATTAAATACTCAAACTATTTTAAAAGAACAACGAAAGAAATATTCATTTAATAAATCAAAAGAAGTATTTCAAATGTATCCTCGTGAAATTAATGTACTTCATTTTGAAGAAGTATTTAAAAATAAAAATCCAATTAATATTGAATTATGTAGTGGTTATGGTGAATGGTTAATTACTAAAGCTGAAGAAAAAAAAGAAGAAAATTGGATTGGAATTGAATTATATCGTGATCGTGTTTATAATTCTTGGGCTACTAAAATATTTGCTGGATTAGATAATGTTGCTTGTGTTTGGGGAGATGCAATGAATGTTTTAATGTTAAATATAATGCCAGAAAGTATTGATAATATTTATTTAAATTTCCCAGAACCACCAAAATATGAAAATTCTCCTACAAATTTATTTACAATTCAATTCTTTTTCCAAGTTGCTCGTATACTTAAATTGGATGGAATCTTTTGTTTATTAACTGATTCTCCTATTGTTGTTAATATTGTTAATAAACAATTTGCTCATAGTGAAATTTTAAGAAATAAATTCCAAATTCAAGGAAAAACTATGTTTGAAAAGAAAATCCCTGATGGTTATGGTACTTCATATTTTGATCAATTATGGAAGAATGGTAAGATTAACCAAGATAGATTCTTTATGAAAATTAAAAAAATTATGTGATTGAATTAAATTCATTGATTGCTATTTAAATTATTCTCTTTCATATTATTATTTTATCATTTTATTCTTATTATAATCTTTTTCTTTATTTTATTCCTAATTATCTTATTGTTCAATAAAATAATTTAGTATTTTCATTTTGAAACACTATTCTATTATTTTTTTAAATATCTATTTATTGAAACAATATCAAGAATAATACTAATTATGTATTAGTTCATTTAATTTGAGAAGATCCTAATATAATCATTATCAACTATTATTCTTTTATAATTGAATTTATTTACATAAATTAAATTAATATTGTAATTTGTACTATACTATCTTTATTTATAACTTCG